TGGGCTTAGTCCCGGCCCCTCCGGTGGCGGTGCCCACTGGCGCGCAGAGCACGCGCCTGAGGAGGCGATTTGGCAACTAAAAACGGCGCCCGGCCCCTTCCGGCAGGGCCTTGAATTAGCTCGGCTGTTGTGAGCTCACATGCTTCCATTTCCCCTGCAGACCCAGCATGGCCGCCCAAGGAGAGCCCCAAGTGCAGTTTAAGGTAAGGGAGTCATTCGTTTTTTTGGTGTTTGGTTTCTTTTTTTTTTTCCTTTCTTCAGTAGAAAAGGAGCCTGAGCAACTCTCGGGTGCCAGCGTGGATGGTAGGTTGGGTTTTGAAGTGCTGGTCTTAATGGTGCATTTAGTTTACTGTAGCATTGCATATAACTTGTGCAAAAAGATTCTGTTGCACTGTGTCAATCTGATGCTATTTGTAATTTAGTGCAATGCGTTTTAGCGATGCTTTGCCTGTAGAACAGTTCTAAAATTCAAAAGTGAACTTCACAGCAAAAAGTGTTTAGAGTGAACTTGTTTTCTGTTGTGTATTAATTGTTTGGGGAAAAACTTTAACAAATTTAAGAACAGAGATATTTGCTGGTGTTTTGTGTGAGTTTTTTTCTTTGTTTTGTTATCTTAACAGCCAGAACTCATCAAAACTGCATCATGGAAGGTTGTTACTTGTGTTTCTGACAATACTTGGCTGGAGTATTCCAGTTGTTACAGTTGTCTGAGGTTTTTTGTTTGGTTTTTGAGTGTAAGATTACAGTGGGTTTCTCAAATTTAGGTGCTTAAGTGAGTTCTTCTCTAAATATGGTCACATTCAGGTTGAAAACCACAAATATTCTTAATGTAGTCATATGTTGTTGAGTAGAACCATATTCAGTGCAGTTTTTAGGTATAGGAACTAGATAAGTCTGACTAGAGTTAGACCATGATAGGCTTAACAGATTGGGACCTAGTACAGTGAGTCATTTCATGGGGAATTCAGTCCTTTGTTCATAGCACCTTGTAGGACTAAGGTCTTTATAGTGATAATGAATATTTACACTAAAATGACCAGTAAATATTTCTACAAGTTCATTGCTCTTGACTTTTTTTACCTTTTTCAATCAACAGCTTGTCCTGGTTGGCGATGGTGGCACTGGTAAAACAACATTTGTAAAACGTCATTTGACTGGTGAATTTGAAAAGAAGTATGTAGGTATGTCTAAAGAAACATTTGAGATCTAATATGTTACAATTAGAAGTGCAATTCATGACTTGCTGAGTACACTGCTTTTTTTTTATTATGACTATAGCAACGCTGGGTGTTGAGGTTCATCCTTTGGTGTTCCATACTAACAGAGGCCCTATAAAATTCAACGTATGGGATACAGCTGGCCAAGAGAAGTTTGGTGGCCTGCGAGATGGCTATTACATCCAAGGTAAGATGTGTCTATATGTGGGAATGTTCTGTTCCTCTCACCTCTTGTCTTTCTGTTCACATTGGCCACTGAAAGCTGTCGCTGTGGCTTGCAGTGATGAGCTGGTTTCTGGGTTTTCAGACTCCGATGTGATAATTTTCTTTGCTGGACAACTGGTGCTGGTGTAGGAATATTTCAGAATTGTTTCAGTATGCTATTGCAGGCTTTGATGTTAATGAAGATATTGCTGATGAAATGCAGGGATTAAAAGGTAAACGATTGTGCTTCAGTTAGTACAAATTCATATTTGTTACCATACTGTGCTGAGGCAAGGGCTTGGAATGCACAGACTGTAAAATTTCAGATTTGATGATGTTGTACATCTCTCTGGCAGTCCAGTTGTCTTTCTGAAGAAATACTGATAGTGCCCCTTTTTCTGGACCAAGCTCTGTTCTGTGTGTATTTCAGTCACCTGCATATCTTTAAAATTTTGTGAAGAATTAGTAGAGTTTGGCATTACTGCTTTTCCTTTAGAAGTATCAGGATTGAGTCAAACCCCTGTGATTTTTTTTCAAATTAAAAGTTTTTTCACTGTTCTGTACAAGGGCATCCCAAGATATGGACTGCAAGCTCTTGACCTACCTGAAAGCCTCAATAGGATGTCTGGGATTGGTTAAATAGGTCTTAACTGAATTCTGGCAAATACTTGTTTAAGTCAAAGTTGACTTTTGTAGTCCCTGTATGTTATATCCTGCAATGCCATGTTATTCAGTGGGACAGTTGCATTGATAAAGTTAGCTGTTTGGGGGCACTAGGTACATGAGATGACATGGCCGTGGGCTGGGTTCTGTGAACTTGCACATGGAACTTCTTAACAGAAGATGAGGCCTTGGAACTGTGAAGCTGAGAGGGAAAAGTGAATGCAGATGATGGTATTCTATGATACCTCTTATCTCTCCCACGTTAGAAGCAAATGCTTACTCTCCTGATGTAACTCCTGCCTATGCTTTTCTTGCAGCTCAGTGTGCCATCATAATGTTCGATGTAACATCAAGAGTTACTTACAAGAATGTACCTAATTGGCACAGAGATCTGGTACGAGTATGTGAAAACATCCCTATAGTGTTGTGTGGCAACAAAGTGGATATTAAGGACAGAAAAGTCAAGGCAAAATCCATCGTCTTCCACAGGAAGAAGAATCTCCAGGTATGTTGCTGTGAGTTTGTAGGCATCAGACTTGTTTGGTCTGACTGCAGTTGGGTTCTATGCCGTAATTGAGTGTTTTGCTTTTGTCACTACATGCTGTAATATTTCAACTTTACGTCCTGTTGACCACTTGCACCTGACTTTAAGGGAGGGAGGAAATGGTTATGTTTAAGATGATCATCACTGGTCTTCAGCAGAAGCTATGGTAGAGCTTGTTGCATTTGGCTTTCACTGCTCAGAATCTTGTGACACAGAAGTGAGACTAAAGTAGATCAAGTCATAGGAAAAAGATGCACTATTGCATCCTGAAAGTTCCATCTTTGATCTGATTAGGTACCTTACCTTTCAATTACCGATTTCTGCCTACTTGCTTGAAGCTATACTTAGATCATAACTGTTTCTGAGAGCATAAACAGAAATGGTGGTGAAAAAATGCTAAGGTGAAAGTACAGCTGATAATGTACCTATTAATCATTGTATGCCCTAAATACCAGCTAGAGGTGTGTCTCTTTTTTAATAATGTATTATCTGTACTACTTTTGCAGTACTACGACATTTCCGCTAAGAGTAACTACAACTTTGAGAAGCCTTTCCTCTGGCTTGCTAGAAAGCTAATTGGAGATCCTAACTTGGAGTTTGTTGCTATGCCTGCTCTTGCACCACCTGAAGTTGTTATGGACCCAGCACTGGCAGCACAGTATGAGCAAGACTTACAGGTAAGTGAGAAAGGGCATGAAGGTGAAATGATTGCCTGGTACCTAGTGTGTGGATTCCTGGGGCTAGTAACTGAAGAACAGTTCCTAAATGTGACTTTTTTGTTCCAGAATGCTCAAGCCACTGCACTGCCAGATGAAGATGATGACCTGTGAGGGATGAAGCTGGAGCCCAGCGTCAGAAGTCTAGTTTTATAGGCAACTGTCCTGTGATGTCAGTGGTGCAGCGTGTTTGCCACTTTATTATCTAGCTGAGCAGAACATGTGCTTAATCTTTGGGATGCTGAAAGAGATGAATGGGCTTCGGAGTGAATGTGGCAGTTTAAAAAAAGAAAACAAAACAAAAAACAAAACAAAATGAAAAAAAAAACCACCAAAAAAACCCCTTCATATTTTGGACCTGCATATTTAGCTGTTTTTTGGACTGCAATTCCCCTTTTGAGTTTCAAATATAAGACTGCTGCAGTCACATCAGAGTGTTAAGTGGTAAATCTTGTTTCTGTCATTCCCATTCTTTTTTGTTTAGATAATAAAGTTGTATTTCAAGTATCTCTAAGCAAGTGAACTTCTCATGCATTGTTAGAAAAACTCTTCGAAGTCTTTTTCAGTTGAGGCTAATACTTGGTTGTCTGCTGCATTTCTTGTTCTCTGTTCTCCTTTTCCCCTCCTGCTTTTCATGTTATGCTCCTCTTGCTAAATCAGAGCTAACAGTTAACCTGCCCTTGATTCCTGAAGCATATAATTAAAGCACCTGAGGAAAGCTGAACTAGCTGCCAGGTAAAAGTAAAGTAGTGAACACTAGGCTGGGTAAGTATGACTGGATCAGCATTCCCATGTGAATGGGTATGTTTGTGGTCTGCAGGGCATCTTGACAGAACTGTGTGTAGTTCAGCTTTCATAACAGTTTCTCAACTCTAACTTTCATGTGTTCTACAGTATGCCTTCACGGAGCTCTGTATTTTTAGTAGCCAGGAACAAATGGCATCTGGGTCTGCTAGGTGACTTAAAAGCTGTATCTTTGCATGGAACATCATTCAGTAGAGCTATAGCTGGTTAAACAAACTCTCTCTAAGCATCTTAAACTTCACTAACTAGAAAACAGCTGTAGTTTGAGCTAAAAAGCTCCTGGCTACAAAACAGCATATAAACTAAAACCACATTTATATAAATATCTAAACTTTACTGTAACTGCACCAAGTTCTTAATTTGAAACTCTAGCTTATTACAGCACAAATGGAAAATGTCAACTTTTAACACTATCTTGTAGAGATTAATCTTGGTCAATATTAGTACTGCTAGTGAACAAAACTAAGTTTAAGATACCATTTTTTCAGTAGTGTTTGAGTACATGAAGCCTTGAACTCTTCAGTTTTGTATTTTTGATTTCAATAAAGTGGAGCATTTCATTTATTCCTTTTAGCTTGCATGTTTGTGTACATAACTCCTACTTGAATATTTAACTATTCAACTATTTTGGTACACGGTAGCAAGAAGTGTGGACTATGATAATTCTGCAATACTTGTGTAAAGGATTCATTAAGTTAGTGCAAGTTGGAGTTGTTTTGATGTTTGGGGTTTTTTTTTGTTGTTTGAATATTATTTTTTTTAAGCTAGTCAATGAGAAGCTGAGCTGTGATAGGTAGGACCTGAAATTTGTTAATGATATTAAGGAACGTCTTGCACTTAGTTTTGTAAAAAGACAAATTCCCTCTTAACATTCCATTGAATGTTCTTGCCGCATCATCTTGCTTTAACTTAATGTAGGTCCTTGCCTGTAGCGTTTACTAATTCACTTGTGTGTATTTCAGTTAATTCTGCTAGCTTTACTATCTGCTGCTGCTTCTACTCAGTGTGGTAGCATTTTTTTTCTTTGAGCTGTCTCACTTCTGAAAATGCACTGCTCAAAAAACCCATAGATTGAGTTAAAAAACTTGGGTAGTTCTGCAGTATTGATAGGCCTCAACAAGAAAGGAAAGGCAGCACTGAGATTTTGTTTCATGGTGTGTATGTGGTGGTGTCTTTAAAACTTGCCTGCTGCACACAGGTGCTAGCATTAGTATTAATTTCTCTGAAACAGCTGCAAAGATGTGTGAAAAGTGAAGTAGCTGTTTAAAGATGGGTTTAACTGCTGTGTGCTTTGCTTTGTCATTTCCAGTGCTACTTCCAAGTCTCCAAAAACTCCTAGCTGAAGTAGGCAGTAATGCTCATCCTGCATTAAAGTAACTTCCAACTTGCTATGTTTTTGGAGTGGAATTAAATCCACTTGTTTCAGCACTATACTTGGTTTGTCATATTTAGTCTCTGTTAGGTGTTGATTATAAATAATGCCAGTAGCCTTAATGTGCATGTGCAGATTCCTCCATTGAAGTTACTTAGCGAAGTTTTTCACTAGTTGGTTTAGACAAAATTTTATGTATTCAGTCAAGTAATGAGGAAAAGAAAACCTGTGTTTGAAGAACCTCTGTCCTAGTCATACTGGTTTGTACTGGAGCTCTACCATTAGCAGGGCTGAATCGAGACCAAAATCCTTCACTGCAATATTGACTTTGTTCTGCTGCACGGTCAGATTAATCGTAGGAGTTCTTGTGTTCCCTGCACACCACTTGGTGACTCTTCCCATGCTAGGAGCTCTCTGGTTTCACATTGGTTTTAAGTAACTTGTCATTACAGACCATGCTCAGCTTTAACTTCCAAAAGAAGGTTGATGTACTAGGCCACTCAGTTCCTAGTTCCATGAGCAAGCTGTGAAATTAAAGTGTCCAAGCCAGAGGGTTGTATTGGGAGAGCAGTTGAACTAGTGCATGTGCAAAACAGGTAAGGGAAAAGTTCAACAGACTGGTAGAGGAAATGTTTTTACTACTTCTCACTGAATCCTTAAATGAAGGAGCGTTAAAGGATTCCTTGGGAAACCTAGGATTGGCCTTGGATGTCAGGGTTTCAACAGGGAGTAGTTTTTGAAACACTGGGAAACACTGCTCTGCAGCAACTGGAAATCTGTCTGCCAAGAAGGTTGAAGTCTGCCCCTCTTACGCCTGCGAGTTACACTACCAAAAAATGACCTTTGTCCTTTTTTCTGTTAGAAATGGTCCTGTTGTGTTGCTAATACAGTCTTAATCTAAACTACTGGAGAAAACAGTGCTGAGACAAACTTCTGCCTTCACCTTCCTAAAAAAACTCCATGATCTGTTTGAAGCTAGTTATTTCCTGACCTGGACTGGCACTGCTGGTCACTTTCACTGAGCCTTGGCACCAGTTGATTGAGTTACACCTGTCTGATACTGATGGCAATGTCTTACAAGTAACTGAAAAGCGAAATCTACTGCTCTGATGGGTTGGTTTGCACATGAGTACATTCATGGGCTGGTTTGTGTGTTGAGTTTTGTGCTGAGCTGAGCAGTTTGCCTTCTATATGGCTCCATCCTCACTAGGCAGATAGCCAAAATTTGGTGCCTCTTCGGGCCAGTTGATTGGCCTCTTATCAATCTTTTCAAGCAGTTTGCCTTCTATATGGCTCCATCCTCATTAGGCAGCTAGCCAAAATTTGGTGCCTCTTTGGGCCAGATGATTGGCCTCTTATCAATCTTTTCGAGGATATAAGCATTTAGGAGTGCAAAGAAACTGATATGGGCATCCTCCAGTTAATCCTCCCTGATGGTTCCCAGGACCAAGTCTCTTGCTGTACAAAATGCACATCCTATTCTTTGAGGATGTTGCTTTCTGTAAAAGAATTCCCAACACTAGGCCCTAATTGTCCATGTACACAAGTTTCTGTGCTTTAAGTAAAAATTCAGCTTTCTGTGCAACATGAGCATCTCATGAAGTTCGTCCTTGCATCTGTCCTGTAACATGGTCCATCACCTCTGC